AAAACTCTCAACTAAGACTAGTAAAACTCAACTAAGCTAACTACTATGTACAAAGAGGAAGGGGAAACATGGTTGAAAAACATATTACAGTTTAAGATGGATCTTGTGTTTGAAAACCAAAGTTTATCTGGAAGAATTTGGGATATGATCAAATTAGCTTTTTACTAATTTAGGGCAATTTTTATGTTTTCAGACTAATTCACAATGCAAATCCATGAGGTGAATAAAACATTATTTGGCCAAATAATGTTTTATTAAATTATTTGCTTAGTCAGGAACCAATACCCTTTAGTACTCATTCTATTCTCTCTAAATGTTATACCAATTTTGCTATTGAAGAATTAAATTAAAATAGCCATTTGATTTTTGTTATCCACTTCTAAAAGCAAAACTAAAACAGAACACAATGTCAATGTGAGAAAATCTAAAAAGTTGTAGTTTACTACTTTTTCTGAGGAAGTGATTAGGAGTCCAAGTACGTCGTTCTCAACCAGTTCCACTTTGACTGTTAGATGTGAACCAAAAAGATGGATCATGTTCGCATTCAGACCCCGAGCCTTATTTAAGGTACCATAATCCAGTAACCAAAGGGTTAAGGGCTAAAGGTTCTGTTTCTGTAAGGTTATGCTGATCTTTTCTGATCTCAACTGGCAGATGGCTCTGCAGCTCAGTTACACTTCTGTCATAAGTTCAATATTGCTGCTTATAGCAACGTTGGCCATGTTGGTTCTTACCATCACATCTGCCTTTTTAACCAAGTTTCTTACAGTCCACCCGTTCCAATGTCAACTTACCTTCTGTCCATTTGTCCATCATTGTATTTTTCTATCTTTCCATCCACTGTGTTTCTAATTCTGCTGAGTCCTGCTGATGACTGAATATTTCATTCAGATGATTTAAAACAGAGACACATTAAAAGTTGCAGCCCACCAGGCCTTAAGCTCTGCTTGTTTGACCGCAAACCTACTTCTTGCACTTGTTGACCATCTGGTCCTGTTGAGTTCAGTTCAGTAAAAAAAAGATTTCCCAACAGTTAATTTATCAACACCTCATGATGAGATGATTTGAACTAGTAAGAGTTGAATTTAAAGTTAAATCTTGTTTGTTTAAAACATTTTCTGTCTAATGTTCCATTTCCTCCCAGGTTCTACGTGAACCTCCGACACCTGCATGGAATCGCTCTGCATTATAATCCACGTTTGTGTGAGAACACGGTGGTCCGAAACTCCTTGCTGGATGGACAGTGGGGCACCGAGGAACGAGGAGGAGCCATGCCCTTCCAGAAAGGACAGCCTTTCACGGTATGAAGATATTCATTTTAAAATCCCTCACAGCTGATACACACTTGAGTACATGGTTTTTGTTTGGCTTTCTGTAGAAATCCCAAAAACATCTAAGCAGTAAACAGTTGGAATGACCTCTCTGAACCTTGTTTCTTGCAGCTGACCATCATCTGTAAGGAATGCTCTTTCCGTATTCTGGTAAACGAGATGTTTGCCCACTGCTTCACCCATCGCTTCTTTCCTCTGCATAACATCAACATCCTGGAGATTGATGGAGACATCCAGCTGACCTCAGTCAGCTTTTAAAACCCCTCTGCCCCTAGCAAAGAAAAAAATTTAAAAATGAAAAAATAACAGCGCTTATTTCAGCTTTTGTCACTGAAATGTTTAATTTCTGGAGCATGTTTTAATCCTAGTGTTTTTTGCTGCCATCTAGTGGCCAAGTTATAGAGAACAACCAAATAGATACAACCTGGATATATTTCAGTTATATAAACCTCTTTATCATCCATCCAGATTTTTTTTGTTACCAACTATACTATCTGAATTCAACTTGGTTTTAGTTTCTCATCTTGGCTAAGTTTGCTTTAGCTGGTTCATGTGAATTTACTCACTTTGTTCTTGTTCTATGACATTTTATCAGCCTCTCACTGATAGATAGATATGTTACTGTTTCAAACTGTAACTTTGATCTACCTTCACCCCCTCCATCCCCCCATGTATCTGTGCTTATTGTTACTGTCTACATCAATAAATCATGTTATGGTCTACACTATTTGTTGATTTTTTTATTGTGTTGAACTGATAAACACCTGATAACGAGTATGACTCAGATCAAAGTCATGCTGCTCTAACTAGAGCAGCATGCTTGTGCTCTTAGAAAGTTACAAGTGTCAAATCCCACTGCTTCCATTCTGGGTTCCTGAGCAAGACCCTTAACCCCAAATTACTCCCCAGGCACTGCACAGTGGCAGCCCCCTGCTCCCCAAGGGGATTGGTTAAATGCAGAGGTAAATTTCTCCAATATGAGATCAATAAAGTTAAATTATTATTAATAATCACAGTGCCACAAGTCAGTCTTACTGTAAATTGAAGTTTGCATATATCTTATGTGGGACCTAGTCATTGCTTTCGTGCCTTTTCACCACCACAGGCTGCAGCATCATAGCGGCAGCACTGATCCATCTATCCATCTCCTACCTCATTCTCCTCTCCTGAACAGAACCCCCAAAGTACTTGAGTCTTCCAGTCGAGGCAGGGACTCACCTCTGACCTGAAGGAGACAATCCACCTTTCAGAGTAGAGAACTAAGGCCTCAGACTTGGAGGAGCTGATTCTCATCTCCGGTGGTGAACTGCCCCAGTGCGAGCTGTAGATCTCAGAAGGGATCCAACAGAACCACGTCATCTAAACTAGACCCAGTTCAGCCCTTGGCTGCTCCTACAGTCTAAGTCCTCTGGTTAAACTTCAAGTCCTGAACAAATAACCCTGAGCTATTCCTGAGTCTTTAATGATGTGAGGAAACCAACCAGTGTGAATCAATCAATTATTTCCAGTGGTGTCAAAAGTACACACATTTGTTACTTAAGTAGAAGTATAGATACTGCGGTTTAAAAACAAGTTGAAGTATTAATTTGACCTCTTAACTCCAGTAAAAGTGAAAAAGTATGTGCTCCAAAAACTACTTAAAGTATGAAAGTATAAAGTAACCGTTAAACAAAAAAAA